GGGTTCTGGCTCGCCCGCACCCCTGGCTCCGCCGCGCGAAACTAACTGCGAGGTCCTCGGCCTCGGCCTCGGCCAGCGCGCGGCCGGAGGCCGACGCGGGGGCGTCGGGGCCTGCGCGCCGCGAGGCCGCACAGACCCGCGCGGTGCACGACCTCGGCGCCGAGGATCACCGCCCGCGGGAGCTCGCGGCGGTCGCGCCCGAGCTGGACGGGCGCGGCGCGCTTCGGCCCGCGACGGGCTTCGCGCCCCGCGGCCTCCGACAGCCGCCGATGGAGCCTGCGATCGGCTGCGCTCGCGGCGCGGGCAGCGCGCGAAGCGCGCGAGGCCGTCGGCGACAGCGGCCCGCGTCGCGCGGATCGCGCCCAGCTAGACGCGCCAACGAGCCGCGGCCTGCCTGGGGTCCGCGGGGCTCGCCGAGGCCAGCGCGGAGCTCGCCGAATCCAGGCCGCGGGCGGCGGCCAGAGCAACGGGCAGAGGGCCCGGCGCAGGCCGCAGGCGCGCGGGCGGACGCCGCCTCGTCGAGGGCGGACAGCGCCGCGGCGTGCCCAGCAGGAGGCCCCTGGCAGGCTCCAAGTCGACGGAAGGATTTCGCTATTTTTGGCCCCTGGGGGCCCTCGCCGGGCCCCAGGACCGTCAAAAAACGAGTCAGGAAGCTGGCCCGAGGGAAAGGGTCGGGACTTCCGGGGGCGCCGTCCTGAAACAATCAGGGCGTCGCATGTCTGGGCTTCCTTTCCCTGGGCCTTGGTCGCGTCGGAGGACCGCGCCGCATCGGCGATCATAGGGGCTGCCTGCGTGAAGACGGGCTGCGCGTCGAGCCGCACCGCCGACGCGGCGCGCGATCCTCGGACACCACCTGCTCGGATCCTATCTGGGAGGCCTGAAGCCATCTCGGCCTGTCCCTCCGCCGCATCTCCGCTGCACCTCCACTGCGTCCCCTCCCCGCCCCCACTCAACAATCGCACGTTGTGCATAGCGGATCCTCTCTCTGTCCGAGCTCCGTCTGGAAGATCAGTTTGTGCTTCGTTTGGTTTCAATATGATTTGTCGGTGCTTCGAAATGGTGTTCCCGCTTCAGCGTGGGCATCTTTTTTGGGTCGGCGCTTTGCTCCTCTCGTATTGACGCTCTTGCCACAGCGCAGGCCACTTGTCTACATCTGAATCCTTTTTCATCGCTGTCGCCCCCCTCATTTCGCATCCTCCGCCTTCCCCTGGTCCTTCTACACCTCCCGCTCGTTCCACTCCAGTTCCTGCTACTGGTGTTCGTCTTCGTCGTCCTCTTTGTTCATCCTCCTTTTCCTCCTGCTCCTCCTTCTCCTCCTCCTCCTCCTCCTCCTCCTCCTCCGCCTTGTTTCTCTTGTACGCAACTCCTTATTCCGATTGCGCATAGCACGACGGGGTCTGTTTGGGAGTTCCAGGTCGGCTATGAGAAGTGCCCGCGGACAGAGCAACAAATCAGCGACACGGGGAGGGATGAGAGGGAGAGATCGGCTGTCAGATGTGGCGCGAGGGCATCTGGCTTCCCCCCCCCTCCCCTAACCCTTCCATCTCCTCCTCCATCCCCCTTCAATTTGACCCTCTCCTACTTGGCCAGCGCCGTGTTCCCAACCATCCCGTGGAGTTGGGTCCTCGTTTTGAAGAGACAGGCCCCGCGTCTCCTACTCTTCCTCCTCCTCTGAACCTCCTCCCCCTCCTCGATCCTGCGGTCACCCCCTCACTTTGGCACACCTCTCACACGTTTCGTGGCCCCATGGGGAGCTCCACTTAAGGCCCCAGCGGCAGGGTTCGCATGCCGCCCTCTCCACTTTGGCACATCCCGCATACGTTTCGCGGCCCCATAGGGAGCCCCACCGAAGGCTCCAGTGGCATGGGTCGCATGCCCCCTCCCCTCTCCACTTTGGCACACCCCTCACACGCTTCGTGGCCCCATAAGGAGCTCCACTCAAGGCCCGGCATGGTTCGCATGCCGCCCCCCTCCACTTTGGCACACACCCTCACACGTTTCGTGGCCCCACAGGGAGCTCCACCGAAGACCCCAGAGGCATGCTTCGCAGGCAGCCCCCTCTCCACTTTGGCACACCTCTCACACGTTTCGTGGTCCCCGCAAGGAGCTCCACAGAAGGCCCCAGTGGCATGGTTCGCATGCTGCACCCCCTCCACTTTGGCACGCCCCTCACACGTCTCGTGGTCCCATACAGTCACAAGGAGCTCCACTTAAGGCCCCAGCGGCATGGTTCGCATGCCGCCCCCCTCCACTTTGGCACACCCCTCGCACGTTTCGTGGCCCCACATGGAGCTCCACCGAAGGCCCCAGTGGCACGCTTCGCATGCCGCCCCCCCTCCACTTTGGTACATCCTTCACACGTTTCGTGGCCCCAGACGGGGCTCCACCGAAGGCTCCAGCGGCATGGTTCGCATGCTGCCCCTCGCCATATTTGGCACACCAATCGCACGTCTCGTGGCCCCATTGGGAGCTCCACCGAAGGTCTCAGCGGCATGGTTCGTATGCCGCCCCCCCTCCACTTTGGCACACCCCGCATACATTTCGCGGCCCCATAAGGAGCTCCATCGCAGGCGCCAGCAGCAGCGCCCGCATGGCTGCCCCGCCCCATTGCGGCGCACCCTTCTCGCGCTCGTGCCCATAGGGAGCTCCACCCAAGGCAAATCTCACAACGGCGGTATTCACAACTGCGCATGCTTGGGTCCTTCGCCCAGATATCTTTTCACGAACTCCCCCCGGGGCCTCACCACTTCCCCGAGACCGGCTCTTCATTCCGAATCACTTCTTGACGAGATATAGCGGATTCCGGAAACCCTGAACACAAAAATGTTGTCATCTCTTTGCGGCGCAGTTTTTTACTTCTGCCACCTTCCGCCGCTTTTCGCCAGCGGAAGCGGCCTCGTTTCACTTCCGCCGACCTGTCGCCGCCCCTTCGCCGCCTTTCGCCGAGGAAGAGATGACAACTCCTTCGATCCTCGAAGGCAAGGCCCTTTTTTGAGCGCCTCCTATGGACGCCAAATAAAATCGAAGACACACCGTCATGTTGATTTGCTGAAGACGTTTAATGCCTAGGCCATTGGATTCCAAACTGGCCGCGGCGGGGCCTGTCCCTGGACATGCACAGAGTGCTGCCGCGGCGACGATGGCGCCACAGCAGGTCCAAAGAGGCACACAACATCGCCCAGACATCTCGGTCCTCGATCCCCCTGAACCCTTTCACCAGAAAGCCAGCACCTCGACCAGAAAAGCAAAGTTCAGATGTCCCAGGACCTGGGGCACAGGACAATGGCCTCGCCCAAGCGACGCGCAGCTTGCGCATGATAGTGGCAGTGCAGCCCCCCCCCTCCCCCTCCTCCCCCTCCTCCCCCTCCTCCTCCTCCTCCTCCTCCTCCTCCTCCTCCTCCTCCTGTCCTCCTCCTCCTCCTCCTCCTCCTGTCCTCCTCCTGCTCCTCCTGTCCTCCTCCTCCTCCTGTCCTCCTCCTTCTCCTCCTCCTCCTGTCCTCCTCCTGCTCCTGCTCCTGCTCCTGCTCCTCCTCCTCCTCCTCCTCCTCCTCCTCCCTTCTCCTCCTCCTCCTCCTCCCTTCGTCAGATCCGGGTGATCATCGTCGTCTGGTTTTCAGGTCCTTGCGCGGGTCTCCAACGGCCGCTCGGCACGATCCGGGCGGACCCAGAAGGCTCTCGGCGAGGCGCCGCTGCTGGGCAGCACCCCGAGGCTGCAAGACCTCCAACGAAGACGCCAGGAATTCTCGAACCTCGAAGAACCAAATTTCCCATCTCCCCGATTTCGTCCCGGGACCCTCCCCTCCCCCCCTCCTCCCCACTGGTTCTCGCCGACAAGCACTTCCCTCCTCCACCTCCTCCGCCTCCTCCTCCTCCTCCGCCTCCTCCTCTTCCTCCTCCTCCTCATGCTCCTCCATCCCTCTGCGAACACACCGTTTCTCCACGCCTGGCCCGCCGGCCCGCCCCATCCCGCTCGTGGAAGAGGTCGCGCCAGCACGGCTCGCCGACCGACATCGGAGCCCTCCGGCCACCCACCACCCTGACGCGCCTCAGGAAGCAACTCCTGGGAAGTCTTCGTGGGAACGGCAGAATGGGTTATGAGGCCGACTGAACCGGAGTAAGCCCAAGATTGGGCTGGACTCAGCAGGATTAGGCGGGGTAAGACTGATTTGGGCCAAATTAGAAAGTCATTCGTCGTCGAGCACCAGCGCCGATGCCGAATTTCACCTCCCAGGGATTACAACCGAATGCAGTTCCCTGAGGAAGAAGAAGAGGAGGAGGAGGAGGAGGAGGAAGAAGACGAGGACACATGTACTCCGCTCGCTCCAAGTCACTGGAGCCCCTGAGACGCCACAGTATACTCAGAAGACACCTATACACCACGACCACGCCTGACCAAGGGCCTGATATTGTGTTGTCCCTACTCTGGCTGAGGCCTGGACGACCTACGTGTGCACCGTCCGGCGACTCAGGATGGCTCTGGCCAGGCACGGCGGTAGTGGACAGGCGACTCCCGCGGAGGAAGAACCGCTCAGCCCGCTCACCCGCGCTCGCTGGAGCCTCCGAGACGGCACACCAAAGGGGGGCACCACTGGGGGTGCGCCTCTTCCTCCTCCTCCTCCTCTGGGAAACGGCACCCCCTGTCCCGCAAGGACGCCCGCAAACGCCCAGAACCTCCTCGATCCTCGACCGTCTCTCCTCCCCAGTCCTCGACTTTTTTATGGGAGGTGGTGCCCCCCCCCCTTGGTGGCGACCCCCCTGGCACTGCCCTGCACGGTTTCCCCCGGGCAGTAGGCGACATGAGGAGGGGGAGAAGGAGGAGGAAGAAGAGGAGGAGGTGGAGGAGGGGGAGGTGGAGGAGGAGATGGAGGAGGAGGAGGAGGTGGAGGAGGAGGAGGAGGAGGAGGAGGAGGAGGAGGAGGAGGAGGAGGAGGACGGGTCGCCCAAGCCCTTCGGAGAAACCCTCCACACTGGCCGAAGCACGGCGGGAAGAGGGCGGGCCCTCACGGGCTCTGGACCGGGGGCAGCTGCGGCAGCGAGCGGTGGCCCGGCCGCAGGCCGCCGCGCGCGGGGCGGGACCTGCGGGGGCGCGCCCCCGCGCGCGCGCGGCCTGGACGGCGGAGGGGCCGCCGAGGGGCGCGGGCAGCTGAGCAAGCTGCCTGGGTTTCCCCCCCCCCCCGGAGCTCATGAGCCTGCTCTGGAGGGTGTGCCGTCGGTCCGCCGCGCCTCCTCAGGGCCTCCAGGCGCCGCGGCAGAACATGCCCCAGAAAAAGCACCACGGCGGCCCGTTGCCTCCAGAGTCTGGGGCTGGAGGGGGGGGGGGGAGGGGGGCACATCGACCCAGCTCCACGGCTCGATTCGTCTCGGCTCAATCCGCCTCGCCGCCTCGGCCCGATCAACCGCGAGGTCCCGGTCGGAACGCGCTGGAGGACAGGCCCAGGGCCTTGGGGGGGTCGATCTTGCAGAGAAGCGCACGCCTGGCCAGCAGGGACATCACGAGGCAAACACGAGTACTGGTTCGTTACGGTTGCGGCGCCCTGGGGCCCTTTTCGGGCCCTGGGGCAGTGACCAAAACGGCACGCCGCGAAGGACAGGCCGCAGGCACGGGCTCTGAGGCAAGGAACTTCTGCTTGGCGCGTCGCGCCGCTGGTGCTCGCTCCTGGCCCACCACGCTTGCGGCGCGACATTCTCGCCAACCACTTCCCGGTCCTCGCGAGCGGGGCCGCGAGCCTGTCCCAGCCCCCCGCCCCGCAGAGCGCGGCGAGACGCCGTCGGCTCGCAGGGCGTGGCCTGTCGCCGGGGCCGCCGCCGCGACACGCCGAGCAGACGTGCCCGACCGCAGGAGGTCTTCCGGCCCCGGAGTGCTTCCCCGGGACCTGCTCCCCAGCGGGAGCCTGCCAGGGGCGTCGGCGTCCTCCCGAGCGGCCGCCCGGCGCCAGCACTACGGCCCGCACATCTGGGCGTCGTGGCACTACGGCGATGTTTTGGTGGTTGCTGCGTCTTGGGCCTGAGGGCCATCGCGCATCACCCTGGCTACGGAATCCTGCTGCGGCACGGAAGCTGGTCAGGCGGGCCTTTCGTGACAGAGGCGCCTGCGCACTTCAAGCTCCAAACTCCTCACGCCGACCAGATCCGATCCTCCCTGTCGATCTCCATTGGGGGCCACGCAAGTGGGGCCAGAGCAGACGAGATCGGAGGACATCCCAGCATCCCCGATGCATCGATGACGCCGGGATGGGGAGAGTCGGGCTCCTGATCGGGCCGCATCGCCGATGCATGGTCGACGCGGTGCGATCCTCCGACTCCATCGTCTGGACATCCCCACTCCACTGGGGAAACCTGGGCCCCGCTGGCCGGCCTTCCCGCCCCACAGGTGGGGCTGGGGGCCGCCTCCCTCTGGCTCCGCAACACCATCCCTGCCCAGAGGGGGCACGCTGGGAGAGCAAACTTACGCTGTCCTGGTCGGGATGGATCTGCCGATCATGACCAAATTCCGACCCCATTTCGGCGGAGGCTAATAAGTCCATACGGAGTAAGTCCTTACGGAATGCTCGCTTTCCGTATGGACTTACTCCGACTGGACTTAGCCTCTCCTGATGGCCATTTGGAAAGCGGGCAAACAGTGCGGCTGGTGACGGCGTGGTGCAATACGACATTCTAGGCGAGGCAACTTCGGTCTGTGAGTCTACTTGAGTTCCTTCAGAAGGAACCCCTTAGTGTAGCCAATACCCGCATCCGAACCGGACTGTCGCTGAACAAAAACACCATGCAGGCAACACCGGCCACTGGCCAACCCGTGATGTCTTCACAGCGTGGACCCCCAGAAGCCTGGGCCCGTGCCCCAGGACTGCTTTTTGTTCGTCCCCAGCCGACTCCTGGCGGTCCTCAGGCCCAGAGAGGGCCACCAGAGGCCGAACGTGGTGCAATCGGTTACACGCAAGAGGGAGCCTGGGCAAGGGTGACCTTTGCCGCACGGCTTCACGAGGGACGCGGGGTACCCAAATCCAGGCGCGCGAGCCGCTGCTATCGCTTCGCGCCCAGCGATCGGGAGCTCGAACTGGGCCCGCACAAGAGGTTTCTCCAGCGAGAGGTCACTCTTATGGCCAGTCGGTGCGATGTTTTCCCGATCATCCTGTGGTGTTGGGTCCTCGTTTTGAAGAGACGGCGCCCCGCGTCCCGCACTCACTCACTCCTTCCTCCTCCCTCCTCCTCCCCAGCGCCCAGTACTACCGAAGGGAGCTCATCCCTCCTACTCCTCCCTCCTCCTTGTCTCGTGGTCCTCCTCCTCCTCCTCCTCCTCCTCCCTCCCCCTCCTCCTCCTCCTCCTCCTCCTCCTCCTCCTCCTCCTCCTCCTCCCTCCTCCTCGTTTCGTGGTCCTCTTATAGGGAGCTCCACCGAAGGGAACTTCCCGCCGCGACTCCCTCCCGATCCGAGGAGGCCGCGCTTGCCAGCCTTGGCCACCTGGGCGGCGTGGGCCCGAACTCGCCGCCAGCGCGCCCTCTCGCGAGAGGCGGCCTGGGGCCGATCGGGCCCAGCGAAAGGAGGAGGAGAAAGAGGAGGGAAAGGAGGAGGAGGAGGCAAGGCGAGGAGGAGATGGAGGACGAGAATGAGGAGAGGAGGAGGAGGAGGAGGAGGAGGAGGAGGAGGAGGAGGAGGAGGGAGGAGGAGGAGGAGGAGAAGGAGGAGGAGAAGGAGGAATAATGAAAAAGGAGGAGGAGGAGGAGGAGGAGGAGGAGATGGAGGAGAGCCGCGACCCACCCAAGGTTCGCCAGCAGCGCGTCAGCCCGCAGGGGGCCAGCCACAACTGCACTTTGCAGATCCTCAACTACTACAAGCCTCTTCCTATACATGTACATGGTATTCCGAACCCTTCACTTATACACTGATATATGTTGTTTCTCGTCCTCGCGTTAAGCTGGACTGCGTCAGCACAACACAACTCGTACGGCCACTCTGGCCTAACACCACCGCGCCTGCGACAACTACGTCTTACGCCCCACACTAACAAGCATACGACGACCACGTCAACTTCCAACCCTGCCTGGCACCGCGGGGAACGGGAAAACGAGAGCAGCAACACGCACGCTTTCACGAGTAACATCAACGCGCACATTACTCGACCAGCAACACACAGCAACACATACAAGAAGCCCAATCACTCCTTGACCAGAACCACAACGCACAACAACTACCACGAAATCGCCTACCAACCCGACTGCAACTCCACGGCGAATCGGGGAACTCCCCTCTGATCGCCAACAACCGTGAGGCGGTAGCCTCAGGCCGGGACCGGCCGAACGGCGGCCCAGTCAGTGCGTCACTCACCTCACACCGCAGCTTTGACCAGCTTCGTCCCAGAACAGACACGACACTGCACAAGCTGCTCCATACCCTACCGTTCTCTCGGTAGCACTCTCATGCGAAAACGTACGCACTCACCGACAAGCATCAACAGCAGCAAAGCTGGATGTAGTCTGTTCCCATTATTTGTCCCCGACGGCTGCGGACAGCGAAGACAGTAGCTCATCCGCCTCTAGCAGCAACGCAGACGCCCAGCTGCGCAGCACAGCACACGACGAGAACAGCAACAACAGCTATGGTATGCTGTGAGTCCCCAGGAGGGCTTCCTCACCCACGGAAGCTGCTTGAACCGACGTACATGCGTGGGCCCCTGCAGGGTATTCTCCCCCACAGGCGATGACACTGGGTCCCTGCGGGGCTTTCTCACCCACAAGCGCACCATACTCATGAGGGCCTCCACCAAACTCCAACTTTCAACTCCGTCCCGGCCCATCTTCTTGCAGCCCTCCTCCCGCCGCTTCACCTCACTAACCTCCCACCATCCCTCATCCTCCGTCGGCGGAACGGGGCGGTCATAGGGCGGGGAGTGTGCAAGGACTCGCCGGTGGCCGTCCTGGCAAGGGCCAGGGCGGCCGCGGCCGCAAAGCAGCTAGCAGGCAGCCGCCACTACAACCAGCACATTCACATGTAGGTACTGCACTCGCCCCCTCCCCCATCTCAGCCACTACAGGCCACAACTTCGCCCTGCAGCCACGACCCACGGTTGCCTGCTTGCACTGGAGGACGTTGGGGAATGGGTAGGTTGGGAGGACGGCGCCGTAATCACACGGCTGTGCCACCGCCGCAGAAGGCATACACCTCCCCCACGCACGGCGGACCCCCCCAAGCGGCCCCCACCCCCGCGGTATGGGTACCCTGCTTCTGCCTGGCGGGGGAGGGTACCAGTCGCGGGGATGGAGGGGCGCTTTGGGGGGGGGGATTCCTTTGTGCAAGGGGAAACGTCCTTAATGCCTCCCACTTTGGCGGGGGTGGCTGGCAACCCTTTTTCGGCGAGCGTGGACGCTTCACCGCCGCCTAGAAGGCGCAAACATCGCGTGTTGGATGGAAATCCCAGGCGGCCCCGAGGTCAACGCTCTGAGAACCTTTAGCCGGCTTGCAGGCGAGGGATCCCGCCGTTGGCTTCGGGGGCGCCTGTGGGGGATTCCTATGAGCTGAGGGAAAGGCCCTTGCGCCTTCCGTCCGGCGAGGGTTGGCAGGGAACGCCGCTGCCAACTGCCACAGCTGTCACCCCACCGCCATCCCCACTTAAACTTTAGCTCATTAAACATATTCCCGAGCTTCCTTATCACCTCCCTCTCTTCCAGCGAGTTCGGCAGCCGTGGCGTTGGCCAAGGCCGCTGAAGGCAGCAACCACAGTGCGCCCCACGCCAGCTTACCTGGCACCTGACCGCAGCTGGCTCCCCCACCTACTGTGACAGCACGTTTTGCTTCGGCACCGCAAGCGCATCAACTGTCACATAGAGGGAGGTCGGGAGGATTTGAGTGGGGTAGACTACATGCGCCGCACCGCCGTCGCTTGGAGGCCGCCGCAGCGGCCAGTGTGGCAACCAGCCACACTGTCACAGCGCCGCCGTATGGCGGTTGTGTGACACGGTTGCAGTGCGGCCAGGGGTCCGCCAACAGCCCACATTGGCGCCCATCTCACCTCTTTCAACTCTGTTCACGCCAGCATGATCGCTTTCCCGGCCTAATGATTACGTCCCTCTCTTCATCCGACG